GAGTTGGTGTCATCCAGGGTGGACTGCAGTTTCGGCCTCGCATAGGTCTTATCAACACTCCTAGCGAGAGTCGAACCGTTACAGGGCAGCATGTGAGCTTGCCACGTTAATCACTCGGCCACATTGCCACGAGTGCCCTTGGGTCACAGGGCAGATGGATGATACCAACTCTTGGGAAAGCAAGGCTATGTTACATTCAATGAAAATGTCAGCTCTACTCATATCATTGTGGGAAAATTCTACTACCATTCGTTCATCACCTTAAACGAAATTGGGTGAATACATCTCATATTACTGATTTACTGGTAGTCTCGAAACATTACTTAAATACGAAAAACTATATGACCAAGTTACGAAAACAAGGTAAAACAACATATATACAACGAAAGTAGATGGCAACCATATAATATGCCACGCGGTACCCTCGGTACTTTTTTAACTTTAGCATTAGGTCTTAACGCTTAGTGTGCCAATTTATTGACTTTATTTATTACTTTCCTCTGCATATCTATAGGGGCCAGATTTAATTGTATTTGTGCCAGGAACTTTTCGTTCATTCCATTTGGAGAAGAAGCCGAGGTAGAGGAGGAAGTGGTTGCTGCAGTTTCAGAGGTAATTCACTTTTGCATTGTTGTCTTGAATAAGCTCTATTGTGAGATGACTCCATATTTCCGAAGATAAGTTTGGTAGAAAGAATTCGTGAAATGGCCTTACCGAAAATCAAAGGAGGATTGCCACAGAGTTAGAGCTGTTGGATTGCGTGAAAAAGTCTTCATCTCGCCTTTCTTTGACCCCAATGAACCTGTGCCAGCCTTTCTTCTGTCATATGACAGATATTGAGAGCGGGAAAATATACTGTGCGAAAATACGCCCGGAGCAATCACATTCACTTTTTTATACTTAACTCTGCGATCCTAATGAGATATCTCATAATTTGGCTGGCTATTTCACACCTAATATATTCTTGTAGATGGAGAAGGTGGATGTATGAAAGGAAAGTGGATGTAGAGGCAGCTATTTCCTTGCCTAACTAGTCAAACTCATGATCCTGCAACTTTTTGAGCATGTGGTAGTGCTTATTGTGAAGCTGAGTTAGAAAGTCAAATCTGACTCGAAGCTATTCAAACCCCTTCTTAGTGGTTCTTCCTGTCTCTTATTAAGTCTATCCAACAACCAAAAATAGTTCCCCAATTTCCTACATTCATTTCTCCTATTCAGGATGTTGACCGTTTTTTTTCTATAAACTACATAACCTTACGCTTGAATGTGAAATTCCCGTAGCTTGCAAAACACTTTGTGGACCATTCTATTTCGTATCCTTTATAGGCCCATGAACATTTACCGATGGTTTAGTGATCAGATCGGTCGGCAGTTTTCCCCTACATAGATCTTACCACATAAGCGCAAAGCCTTGTAACAGATCAGGATGCCACAATGATTCCAGTTTCCTATTTCTAGTTTGTTTACATTATAAAATGGCTTGTATTGCTAGTTTTACAATTAATTCTATTATTTAGCAATTGAAATTTTTGGATCTCTATGATCATTTTAACTGAAGTCCCAAATACTTGTTTAAATTTGTGTATTATTTTGAATCCATTATAATTTCGTAAGATTCGAAGTAAATAATCACGAACTCTCCCTTGTAACATCTTCGTTTTATTATTTATCAATCATCAACAATATACAAATTTTATCTTAATTTCACCGTGATCTATACCTTATTAGTCTTGTTCTACCTAATCATAGTTTAGCGGTTCAAAGGAAAGAGCAAGAGGGCGCACGACCTGCTTTCGG